ACCACACATCCATCCTCTGTTTCAAATGGTTAAAATGAATTTCTAGGACCCAACAAAAACATCTTATATTAGAAACCTGATTTTTCTGCTGAGTTACCCAGACGTCAGACATATATATGCACTTTAAACATAAATGTGATCGCGATGAAGTACCTTAACTAGGCTCGCTGCTTTATTCATTACTGAGCTGTTACCCCTCTTCTCTCTGAGGTCAAGGTATAAGGAGGGTTGTAGGAAGCCCCACCTCTATGCCTTTTCATTGTCTCACAGATCATGACCTCTCCCAAAGAGCATTTACCCAAGACTAATGGTGTCGAGGCCCACATCTGTAGTGGGTCTTAGAGTGTGACCCACAGCCACCTTTGTTTTCCTGTGTAGCCGGGTGGTTACGGCAAGAATGGTTCTTATCCACCACCTTCCTAAGTGCCAACATCTGACCCTGGTCTTAGGAATGGATTTGTATTTTGGTTTTATTCTTACTAAGTTAAAGTTATTCATTTAATATAATGAAACTTGGGGCCTCTGATTGTATTACTTGAACCTCCTAATTACTCTTCCTGCCTTGGGTCTCTGCCCTTGCAAACTGTTTTTCACCTGCCTCTAGAACTTTTCACTTTATGATAGCCATCCCATGCGTCTGCAGAATTTGGCCCACTCTCCTTAGTGTGGCCTGGGAGAGAAGTGGTACAGTATACCAGTGTGCTGCAGTGTGAATTAAATACGTTAATTCACATAAAATCTATAGAGTAGTGCCTGGTGGGTAGTAAGTGCCCCCAAATACTAGCTGTTCTCATCATAACTGCTATTATTATTTATTATAAGGTCTTCTGTGATCTAACCATAGCCTCCAGTGATCTTGCCCTGACTCTGAATATGCCCTGGTCTTGAGATTTTGGTACCTTTGCACACAGTTCCCTTTACCTGGACCACCCTGCCTTCTATTCAGCTCCTCTCTCTTCTCTTCAGTGAACCTCTGCTTCCTCTTAAAGCCCCAGGGCAAATTGCTCCTCTTCTGTGTTGACTTCCTCCCTCCTGCAGGCAGAATAACTGGTTCTGTCCACTGTGTTCTCAAGTACTTGGATGCCTCTGGGCTCTGGTACTCACCATGCAGTTTTGAGATGGTTTGTTTTCTGTCCTTTCTGGCACATGGAGACTGTGAGGGTTCCCTTTCCATCTACACTGAGAATTTCTTGAGGGGGAGGCACCAATCCTGTTGTGTTCATCCCAGTTTCTTCCAGTGTCAGGCACTCAGAGAAGGCATTTGGCATTTGCTGAACAAATAAATATTTGTTGCCCTCTTGTTAATTTTAAATACAGGGTTTTCTCTTTTTTGTTTTTTGCTGTTCACAATGCATTACTAAATTTATAATGAGAAAAACAAATCTCCATAGCTTGAAAGGCTGGCTAAAGTAATTATATCTAACACTGTAGTCATTTGGCTCTGTGGACTGTTTTTTATTAGTCATTTAAAAAGACTGTCACAGAGTAGTTATGGAGACAAGAGATCATTATTTGAATCACAGTGCTTTCAACCCATCCACAGTTTTGGTCTACAATTTAATGATGAGAAAAATACATCTAGGAAGTAAATATTTAAGTAAACATTTTGGTACAGAGAGTAAAATGGAAATTTCAAATGTAAAGATATAGTTTAAACAGGTTTATGCCCAAATTTTACTAGTAGAAATTAATGTTGTACTTTCATTAGGTAATAACCAAGACTTTCTTCTCATAAGTATCTTATTAAAAGATGAACAAGTGAGCGTAGGTTAGGAGGAGAGAATGCTTGCATCGAATGAGGTCCCCTGCTTTGCCCACATGGTTCCATATCCATGTTTTTTTGCATGCATGGCTTCAGCTCATTTAGATGATAAAGAGTGTGACCCCACTCAAGCTAGCGAGAGCATGGAGGAGCTTTTGGTAAGATTTCATGCAAGAGGGAAAGAAGGCAGCAATCACACAGGGGTGCAAGGACGGGAGCTGAACTGGAGCCTGGACTTGGTACCAGAAGGGGTCAAGGCCAGCTCTCCCTCCCGTGTGCCTTTCCTGGGCTCTGTGTTTTCACTCTTTGGTGTCTCCATTCCTTTTGCTCCACATTCTCTTCTCTCCACCTATTGGGAAAATAGTTTGGTCAGGTCCCTCGCCTCAGGTCCAGTTGGGTGTGGTTCAGCATTCTTTGTAAGCAAATTGTGTGTGTTTGTGTGTGTGTGTGTCTGAAGTTAGTACGCATGAGTGCCGATGTATCTTTTTAGTTTTGTTGCTATTGTGTTCTTGAGAGAGAGACAGAGATAGATAGATAGATAGGGAGAGAGAGTTTAGTGAAGCAGGCAGGCGGGCATCAGCCTCAGGCGTCCACCTGGCACAGCCATGCTTTCCAACCTATGGCTCCAAGGACCTTTTGGCCAGTTGCCTAGCTCATAGACCTGTGTGAAGGGGTCTGGTGACCCAGCCTGCCGTGTGAAGGGTTTGTGGCCCAGTCTGCAAACGTGCTTGAGGAGTCTGTGGCTCCAGACCCGGCCTTAGCTCAGCAATCAGCCCAGTCGGTGCAGGATAACCAGCAGGTAAAAGAGCCCGACAACTGTCGTGGTCGCCTAGCTTTACACCACCAACCCATTTCCTTTGCTTATTCGTGATTTTTTTGTTCCTTATGACATTAGCACATGTGTGGCTTCCAATTGGCCACTTTCCCCGGTCCATCCATGGCATCTTTTCAGTATGCGCCTCTGTGCTAACTGGTCCATTGTTTCTAAGGACTTTCACTGGTGCTCCTGGAGAAGGATCTTTATTGGCTAGCTCCATTTTTGGTACCAGGCCAGCCGTAGGGCTCAGGTTGCTGAATTCATTGGCTGCATATCTTTTAGGTCCCTTGTCATTGTCCTATCAGCTTGTGGTCCTTGTGATGAAGCAGCCTCAAAAAATACAGCTGCCTGGAGAAGGGGTTGCAGACTCACATCACTTATAGGATCCAGGCAGGTTAATATAAGTGAACAAATGAGGCCAGATGTGAGATGTAGATACACATTTGCATATTAAACACTTGACACAGTTGACTAGTATCTAAGGGTATAGACTCTTGAGTAAGGGGGCTAAGGTTTGAATTCCAGTCTCTCTGCTTACCAGCTGGGCAACTTAGAAGAAATTACTTAATCTCTGTATGCTTTACTTTCCTCTCTGTGCAGTGGTTATGAGGATTAAATGAGTTAATAACGTACTTACAATGGTGCCTGGCACATAATAAACATTAGTAGCTGTTTTTAAAGGAAAATTTTATTAGCGTCAACATCCTCATCATCTAGTTCCACAATGAAATGAGCTTTCTCTCATTTTCCCTGATACATAAAGCTGTCTTGGTCTATTTCATTCCTCCCCTTTGTAAAGCCATGAGCAAAAATAAACATTTCTCCACTGTAAGGATATCAACAGAGCAATAAAAATGAAAACTGGCACTTGTCTTAAGTGAAGTGTTGGTGTTAGGGACCTTGATTAATTGGATGCATAGATCCTAAGGGATGGAGGCTCACCCAACAGAAGAGTTTGCTATGATGTCAAAAAGAGAGGCCCCGGGCTGTTAGATCGATTGGTTGATTGATCTGTCTGTCTGTCTTTGCCAGAAGCTCAGGTTATGTTTGAAACCTTGTACTGCTGAATAAAACATACCTACAGCCCTCGAGCTAGTGACCTCTGGCCTCCAGCTGCTCTTTTAGGAGACAGTGTGGGCGGGGCTGTCCCTCAGAAGAGGCTGCAGGTGGACCTTCTTATATAGGTGAGTTAGAAAATTGTACTTCCTGATAAAGACTAACACCTTCTCAAGGACAGCAGTATGATGGGGTTCAACATATTCTGACCCTCAGGGTTGGTTTAGTGTGCGTTTCCAAGAAAAGGCATTTGTCTTTGACTTTCTTCTCTTTCTTTTCTTAGAACAAATGAAAATTAAGTTTCAGTTTGGATATGTAGGTCCACTACTGTTCTGCCTTTCCTAAAAGTGGTTCTTCCCTGTCAGAGGCCACGCCTCTGCCTTGTGCTCTGAATCTTGCTTAATCCCACTTGACCCAATATGTCCAGAATGGAGCTCTTCACTTGTCACCCCAGATCTGTTCCTTTCCACAGACTTCCTTGTCTCTACCCAGTTGTTCATGCAAAACACCAAGCAATAGCAGTTAAGCCGTTTTTCTTTCTGTCAGTCTCCCCTCCCGAGACACAGACACACACACACATAATCAGTATGTCCTCTTTTCCACACAGCAGCTGAAGTGATCTTCTTAAAATAGGGATGAGCACACCACTCTCCTGCTTAGAACCCTCAGATTACTTCTCATCTAACTCAGAGTGAGTCAGGCTCAGGATGCTGGCCTATGATGCAGCTACAGCATCGGGCCCCCACCTGGGCCACACTTCCTGTGCCTGCTCATGGGGCACATGGATATTCTCATTTTTGAATGCACCAGGCTGATTCCAATTCTGCTCTCTTTGCCCTATCTGTTTCCCTCCTTGGAATGCATTTTTTCCCCAGTTGTTACTTTCTCAAAAAAGGCCTCTCCCCTCCTCCACGTGAGGCCGGTCAGAGCGAGAACATTGTCTTGTGTGCTCACCAAACCCTCGTAGTTATGTGAGTGAATGGCTGAACTGAGAGCATCTTGGGGGGAATGAGAAAGGTGTTAGAAAAAAAATGTGTATATTTAGTAAAGTTCACTGATTTAGGAGGCAGGAGGGAAAGGAGCAAACTTTTATGGAATAATGAGATTTCCTCTATCACTAATACTGTTGATTTACTCCATGTGCAAACGATCCAGAATGTGAGAGGGAATTTACTTGGGCCTGGTGCGGCTGTTAGAAGTCGGTACTTAAACATTCCATTTCAAATGTTCTCATTAAAGGTAATAGCAGAAAATTGCAGCAAAGATTACCCCAGTTTTTAAGTGGTGATCCCCTCTGTGGAGCTGTCGATTTGTTTAGTTAATGCTAATTTATTTGATATACTTCTGCTTTTTGTTGATTTTTAGGTCTGTTGCCACAGTTATTGGGAGTCGCCCCTGAGAAGGCCATAAAACTTACAGTAAGTCTTTTGAGTTGGTGCTTCTTTTTAAGGGAGTTTGCACACACTCAGCAGTCTAGCAGGTGTGCTTAGGTGAAACAGTAGGTTTGTGTTTCCTCAGAGGTGCCAACTAATTTGAAGGTAGGGGCATTCACCACTCACAGCTTTTCATTATTCCCCATTAATGCTAAACATCCAAAAATATGATAATAAATTTGAAGGCTAATTTTGGAGGTTGTTGCCATCGTTTGTTGTCATCGCAGCAGCAGCTAAATTTCCTTCCTGCCATATTAGGCACTTGACATGTACTATCTCTTTATTGTTTTAATCTCAAGCAAAGTGTGATCCACAGTTTACAGATAAGGAAAGTGAAACCCATGGGGTTTAAATAGCCTACCTGTATTTTACACAGTTCATGAAAACCAGAATTTAACATCAGATTTTTCTGACTCCAAAGCACGTACTCTTTCAGTTATACCTGCTGTTTTATACAATTCGTGTTTGGGGTGTGTTCTGTAAGCATTCACCAAAGCCAGACGTTGAGGAATCTGGGTTCTAGTTGAAGTTGATCCTTCATCAGATTGTTTGCCCAATGCTTGACTCACATTTGACAGATGGTTGGTACTCAGTTTAAGTTAGTGTTTGTGGAATGGATAGATATTGCCTGTATATTACTAAGGCCATAAAGCCCCAGAAAATTAAACTAGTTTTAAATTGGGCCATGTAGTCTTGGTGCCTGAAGTTCTTCTTGTACCATTTTATCATGTGACCTTGAAACCTAATCTTCTCTAGCCTATATCTGCCAAAAACATGATTGTTCCTTAAAATTACTTGTAGTACATACCATTTTGAGAATATTATACTTAATTAATTAATGCAGTTGATGTTCTTTGAGAATCCTTGAGGAATTTTTAGATACTGAATTTCTACTAAGCTGAAAAATCTGCTCAACCAAATTTGTCTCCATGATGAGTGCTGTTGTGTTTTAAATCTTATTAGAAGACTTGAAAATGATTTTTAATCAAACCTTGTAAAACAGTTTTTAAGTTATAAAATGTATCTTTTTATTTTGTCTCTGTCGTCAATATGTTTCCCTTCATAGGCTGTTGTAACTGTAAGACACGTTTGAATTTTTGTCTTGTAAGTTGTCTTTTTTCTCCCGGAAACTTCAGGGATGCATATATATATTTTGCCTTTTGAAAACTGTATGTATGCTATTAAAAGTACTTCTCAGACTATCTCAAAGATCTGTTAATTTGTGCAGTTTATAATTACTCCAATAGATTGACCAAAGAAAGCATGTATTGACAGATACATATTTATGTATTTAATGACTTCATATTTTTCATCAGCTTCTATAAATATTTTTTTTCAAGGTGAATGATTTTGTGAGGGATAAATTTATGCACAATGATGGTTCGGTCCCACTTGCAGCAGAAATCCTTGCTGGAGGCTGTGTAAGTACCTTTGGCCGTCTCTACATTGAGAAGACTTGTTTCACATATGTATCACTACCATAGCGAACAGGTATGGACTAAGGCTTCTGTTTAACCACAGATCCTGTACAAGGGCAGAGTCTCCTAGGGCACCTCGGCTTTTCCTAGACAGGCGAACCATTCCTGAGGTGGAAGGGTAAATGTTTCTGATCTTCCTGCCTGTTAACTCATGCCTGTTCAATTCCTCATTGCTTACAGTTGGTTCTGCAGTAGAAGTCATTGGCGGCAGAAGTGTTTGGCCTTTGAAAAACTTTGCTAACCTTTTCTAAAGTTAATTTTTAGTACATTCTCTCCTCACCACACCCTCTGCTGGGTCAGGCACTAAAATCTGTAGTTTGAAGTCAGCAGCCACAGCTTTCTGCTTTGCTTTCCCTTACAAGTGGCAGCAGCTCTTCAAGCTTCCAGTGCTTCTGGGAGAACGGTGCTGGGAAGTAACTGGCTGAGTGCACTTTGCATTGTCACAAATGCTTGCAATGATTGTTTCTTTATGTGGATGAACAATCTGCATCTTGTTCTGAAGCTCAGCAAAGCATTGTGTCTCGTTTTATCTCGTGTACTGGTTTGTTCATGCAAATGTAAATACTTTAGGTAAATCAAGCTTTTATACAAAGACTGATACTATTGAAAGATAAGGTTGGTTAAATAGGCTTTGATCGCTCAGGCAATACAAAATTGGTATATTTTCCATCTAAACCTATGTTTATAATAAGGAAGGTGAGGTCACCTTTAAAAAAAAATCTGCTTGCTCTGAGCAGAAAATGGTATTTATAAAGTAATTTTTTTCTTGAAAATAATTGAGTTTACAAATCTGGCAAACAGCTAAGAATATTAAATGTTTGCATGGAAAGGGCTTATTGTCCCATCTAACATTGAATGGTGGTTCCTGGAATGTAGCAGGAGCTAAGAACTCCTACCTCCTGGTATTTCTTGAGAGATGGATGGAATTTAGCTGTTCCCTGACTCTCTGTTTGATCACTGACCTGTCAGCTGGACAGCTAGGATCCTCTTGTTCTGTAACTTTAGGAGCATTCAGCATGGACAAAAAGGAGCCTTTAATGTTCTAAATAAAAAGGGCACACAATAATAATCAAAGAGAATATAAGGAGTTGCAGAAACAGCTCTTATTCATTTAAAACAACTCTATAGCTTTCATTCAATTAACTAGATTTTCAGATTTTTAAATAGGTGTATCCATAGGCTGTGTCTTGTCTAGGCCTTCAGATTGTTTAAAACGTCCTGAGATAGCAGGACATTTTGGTAGGTCAGACAGTTGTTTTGGAATTTTTTTTGTTTGTTTATTTTTTCAAGTTAGGTTTTAAACCTGCTGAAAAGATGTGATTATAGATGTCTGTAAGAATTTAAAATGGAAATTAAGTATGCGATACTACTCAACATTTTGGCAGTCATTGTGGCATGTGCCTGGAGGTTTATTTTCTTTTCAATGAAAGCATTTTGCCTGCACATGCATCTGGGTGCCAAGGAGATCGGTTGTGGCACGTATTGTCTAGGTGCCATCTGTAGGTGGTCTTGTTTTTGCATATGTGGTCGCCCATTTCAAACACAAAGCACAGACTGGCATCAGAAGTGGTGCCTAGTTATTGTAGAGAGGCGTTGCCCTTTTTCAAACCTGATCTAAACACAGGCTTAAAATTGGAGCCAGTTGGGCTTTACAACTACTTAAAGTATCTGGGAAATGAAGTTTGCCATCCTTCATCTCAAAAAGGAGGGTAGACAGTGGTCCTCAGTGTTTCAAGTCTCCTGTTTTGCCTATTTTCCCCCCACTCATTGCTTTAAGAAGTAAGAGTTTATTTTCAGTAAGCAGTCCTGTAGATAGCAAACAACCCAGGCCTCTTTAGATCTCTGAGTAGAGAGATGGATGATTCCATTTGCAATGTGTGTGTGTGTTTTTTAAGTAGCAGCCACATCTGTCTTTGCAAGCTTTTGCAAAAGTTCTCATAATCAGAGTTAGTCACTCATCTTAGAAAGTCGTTGTGAGTTCCACAGCCTTGTCTGCCCAACTGGGAATACAAAGGGTTTTGTAAGGTTGTGTCACATGAGCAGTTCCCCGTCTTAGTTCACCCAAGCATTGCTAGGTGTTGACTTTTAAGTCCCTGGGGAGCTCACCTTGCTTCATTATTACTGCAAATTAGTACACATGGCTGACTTTTGCACTTGTAACCAAAGCTGCTCATTTCTTTGAACAAGGCTTTTTCTGTTTTATAGTCTGTTTTCTGCAAAAACAGAGAAAATATGCAGAGAGATCTTTGTCTCATAACCTCCTAACTTCATAGTGCCTGGTTAGTCTGTTTTATTATATTTTTTTAGAAAAACAAAAGTGATAGTAAATTTGAGGGAAAAAAATCCTTGGCACTAAAAAGAAATAAAATTTATCTCATTTCTTTATTAGTTTTGATATAATAAGGCTTATAACTAAAGAGATTAAAAAATACTCTTGTTTCATTGACAGGTGTAAAAGGGTTAGTCTTACTCTTCTAAAACTCATTTTCCACATTGAGATTAGTTTTAGGTTAGAGCACTGCTAAAAATTTGACTTCAGTTTTCTGAGTATTTTTGTAGATTCCCACTTAAAAGTAGTGCTATATTCAGCACAGTTCAAGACTAAACTAGATGCCGAGACTGGGATTTACAGATTCAAAGGCTGAAAGAATTTTCTGAGGTTTGTGTTTTCTCCATTAGTTGGCTTTCTACGTTCTAAATTTGGCTAGTAGATGTAGGAGTTCTGACAGACGCCTGGACCCTCAGGCTTCCCTGCACAAAATAGATTTGAGTGTGTACCTTCTGTTTCTTTCCATCCTTCCCCTTCTTGTGTCAGAAGCTCAGCCCCTGTAGGGGATGTGATTGAGGATCTTGGTTAGTGACAGTGGAGGCTCTCAGTAAATGAGACAGAGGGGGAGGGCCTGTTACCACCTACCCATTTCCAGTGAAGTTCCCAATGACTTTAAAAACTGGGGGGGGGGGGGGGGGGGGGGGGGGGGGGGGGGGGGGGGGGGGGGGGGGGGGGGGGGGGGGGGGGGGGGGGGGGGGGGGGGGGGGGGGGGGGGGGGGGGGGGGGGGGGGGGGGGGGGGGGGGGGGGGGGGGGGGGGGGGGGGGGGGGGGGGGGGGGGGGGGGGGGGGGGGGGGGGGGGGGGGGGGGGGGGGGGGGGGGGGGGGGGGGGGGGGGGGGGGGGGGGGGGGGGGGGGGGGGGGGGGGGGGGGGGGGGGGGGGGGGGGGGGGGGGGGGGGGGGGGGGGGGGGGGGGGGGGGGGGGGGATGTAATGCCATGTGATCTATAGGTCACAGTCCTCCATTCAGCAAAATAAATATATTGACTGTCTTCTGTGCATCTAGTGGAATAGAGGGCTGAAAACCTGAGGTTTCTTGGATCTTTAGCTTCTGATTCTTTGATCTTAAGAAGGCCACCAGGTAAGGAAATATAAGTGGTTCCATGACTGATTTCAAGGAAGAAATAGAAATATGATGTTTAATTTATTTGGCATGAAGGTAAATCTAATATTCACTAGGGAAAAAAATGTTAAAAAGATATAAAACTCTGTCTTATAAAGCTCATATTTAGTAAAAACTTTTTACACACCAATAGAAAATAATAGTAATCTGTAATAATTTTTGGAAAGACAAGTGAGCATGCTTTTGAACTCTACTCTTTGATAGTGAGTCCACCCTATTTTTCCACTGTCATGTGTGTATGTGTATGCGTGTGTGAATATATCCGGTGTTTATGGGAGTTTATATTCATTTTGAGTGGAAAAAATAATTGGTATGCTCACATCACTAATTCTGAAAGGGATTGTAAGAATATTGCCCTCGGGAAAACATGGAGTGAAGAGTAATCTTAATTGCTTTGCCCTGCAAATAAGTAGGACCTCGATGCTGTCACCTGCCTGTATTCTCACTGTTACAAATCACTATTATGGTGATTTCCATTATGCATGATATTTTCATGTCTGTTTGTACAGCCACCTATCAGATACCATTTTTTAAGGCAAGTTTTTTTACTCATCTTTCTTACATTCAGTTGCAGTTAATTTCTATTTTGGAAATTTGGGGGAAACACAAAGATACCAACACAAGTGTGCCTACCATTTAGCTTAAGGTGGCAAACCTCACAAATGCACTTGTAACTGTACCGATTGCTTTTCCCTGCCTCATCTCCCAAAAGATAACCCTATCCTGAAATTGGTGATTTTCACTCCCATGCATGTCTTTATACTTTTTATTACATAGGAGTGTATTCCTAAGCAGTATAAATGAACACTTTTGAATACTTCATTCCAATCCAATACTATAGGAACAACTCATATAAGTCCCAGATTGATGCCTTTGCGTTCTTTCCCACCAGGGCAACTCATGTGCTTTGCTTATCAGAAAAGAATAGCACGTGGGAGTGTTACTTTCTGCTGTTGTAATGTGATGTGTGTCTGTTACACACATGTGGATTTATAGGCATGTTATATAGATAGACTTATGATAGCAACAGTGTATTCATTTAACCACGTTTTTGGTAACTTGGGGTTTTTTTGGTCTTATAATTTAAATTTACCCCCCATACTGAGTAAATTTTTAAAATGTTAACTGTCCCTACTGCCAGCAGACACCCTCCCTATCTGTCTGTCAGTCCTCCCTCCCTTCCTGTTTCTACTCTTTCTCTTTCTTCTCCTCCTGTCTAACTTCCTCTGCCATGGATGGCTCTTACGACTTTCAAACAAACTATATAATTTATATACTTATCATGATTTTTGATTATTTTCTGCTTCCCTTATCATAAAGCAGGACTCTTTTTATTCATTGATGTATCCCAAGGACCCCGGATGGTGCACAGGAACCAGCAGGCTCTTTGTTAATATTTGTTCAATGAAAGACTTTTTTTTTTTTTTTCCTTTTTTCTCTTTTTTCGTGTCCGGCAACAGATCGCAACCCTCAGTGTCGCGCCCGTACCGGACCG